TTAGAGCCAATACTGGTACTTCCCAAAGACTTTAGGATCAGGGAAATGTTTTTTTCCCATTGTACATTTCCTTCAAGATTTTGTAAAACCAAATGCTAGCTTGATTTCATCCAGTCTGCTCTGTGAACCAATGTCATCCTCCATAATTTCTTGACCCATAGTTATGTAACTTTGTTATATCTCTTATAACACAGAACTACAGAGAACTGCTGTAATTATTTATGAGGAATTCTGCATTTAGCCCCAGAATTCAGGGTGGTATTCTCTGTGTGTTAGGAGGTGACACATCTTCCTTCACCATAGTAAGCAGTGTCTGAGATGTAATTCCTATTTTCCCAGTATTTTCATACAGACTCATGAGGAGAGTCACTGGAAGTCTTTCCCTGCCTCACTGCAGCTGTCTAAACTCTACAAAGACGTGATTCAGGCACAACTAAAGCCTTTCTAGGTAAGTGATGAAACAAGCTGGAAACCATTCACACAACAACCATGCATGTTTTCCATATGTTCAGTAATCTGTGCCATAATCTGTACCTTGTTTTCACAAATCTAAGCAATGCCCTGCAACAGGAATAGTACACTTAGAAACACAGGTTATTGCAATTTGAGACACATGAGTACATGTACAAATGAGATCAAACAGGTGTGATCTGAGCTGCTCTGAAGCCTGAAAAATCCTCAGGGTCAGAGGACCTGAAGAATATCTTGAAATCTCATCTCCCTACTCCCTGTTTATAACAGTGGGTCTATATGTGGCTCTTCCTACATGCCTTGTATTGCTTGTTCCATTAGAGCAGCACAGTTGCAGTAACATTATAAACCAGATATTGTTCAGGTATATGAAAAGAGCTAGTTGGTACATGACGAGGTGAGCTGTCAGCTTACGACTGATGTGGCTATGAGATAGATACAGCACAAGTATATATATGCGTGGGGTAAATATAGCTGACTGCTTTCAGTGATTGTGGTGGAACAATTTTAAACACATTGGAGAGGTAAAAAATATTTTTTTTTCTGATAATAAGAAAAGCAGGGTCAAAAAGGAACTGGAGGCTGTGGCTTCAACTGGATGAGGGCTTTCAAACTCGGGTGGCCACTGTCAGTGCCAGTTACTATATCAAAATATCTTTGTTTTGCTTGTTTTAAAGAAATCCTCCTTGATACACAAGACTAATAAGTCTAGAGAACAGGAGAGTGAACACCAAAACGCTGGCTTTTTGGTCCAGCAGGCTCCAAATGTCTCCTTCCATTCTGCAACACACACTTTAGTGTGCTGAATGATCTTGCTGTAAAGCCATAGCCTTTTGGTCTCAGTGCCAAACTTCGAGCTCAAGGCTTCTGGGAGCCCTGCCTTAGCTATATAAGCCTAACAGCTGTTCACGTTAGCAAAGCAGGTTTAAATTTATGCTTGAAAAAAATAGCTGCTCATAAAAAAGAATATGGAACAATGACAACCATGGGAAAAAGGTAATAATTTAAGTCATGAAAAATTAATCAGGGAGTGATACATTATTTTTTTAAGCAAAATGTGTTGCAGTAAGAAGAAAAAAAAAAAAAGGCTGTGGCTTTAATTAATTCTGCTTAGCATTAATAGAATAAGGTCAGGCACACCAAAAACTGTTGAATAAAGCAAAAACGTATGAAAGATATATTCTCTGATGTTACTCAAAATGAAGAAGGGTTATCTTGTGGTCAATACAGCACCATTATTTTTAAGTTAGAGGTACGACTGCTGAAAATATACAGTGGCCATAACAATTTACCTAACTGGTTAGTGAAAAAGGGTTCACATAAAAAGCATGGTATGAAATAATATTCCCATTTAGATGATCACAGTTTACAGCAATTTCTAGCTCTGAAACAATCCCAATTTTGTTCAGCCCAAACTAGGGAGCCGCCCCAGCATGAATGAACCACACCGTGATTTGAAGTCACAACAAAATGACTAGAATATATGTTTTGGAATAATTTCTTGCCCATATGCCAAGAAATGGCTCTTGGCCCAGCCATTTTGTGGGTCCACAAAAGCAGAAGCTCTTTGGCAACAACTGTAAACATGTTATAGTCAGAAACAACCTTACACAGTTTTTCTTACGGCACTGTATGGGGCTTATGGAAACAGCAGCTTCCTGAAAAAGGAAAATGCTTCTAAAACCATGCAAAATCCATGTAAGAAACAAATGGGTTTCCAGACGCTTCAAGTTCCGACTCTCTTCCTTGTTTGCTCCTGAGCCTGGACTCTCCATAGCATACTTGTAATTGGAAAGGATTCATCTCCACAAAATTTAGATGCCTGCACATCTCATAGATGCCCAGGTATCTCTTGAATCAATGAAGAAACACTTCTAAAGGGTGATTTGTCTAACACCTTTTAAGTGACTGACTTTAATGTTCCTCCTCCTCCCCCCTCCTCAGCCAGTCACTAGTAGCAGGGAACTCACTCAAAGGCCAACTGAGAATAATTTGATCATTAGCGTCTGAGCAGAGCTCTTTCAGGCCCTGAGGACACCTGGAGCTTTAATTGCCCTGAGCCAGCTAACCTGCCCTTTCTCACAAGCCCATGGTCTTGGGACTTCTATATAAGCTCAAGACAATAGGTCTAACTCTTTTCTGATGCATCCTGTGTTCTTTAGGTGAGTGTCTTTTTAGTGAAGGCTTTTTTTAGGATTTCTGGGCTGTGGCTGGTCTTAGTTGCTGTTACCAGCCTGCTCTGCTCTCTTCTTTTGAGTGTTGTGGTCTTCTCTGGCCTCCTGAATTGCCTGACCCTGTGGTGTGTGCAGCTTTGCTCCTGCTGCCCTAACAGATATTGCAAAATATGTTGCTAATGTAATTTGATGTTGTGTTTGTTACGTTAATAAGAGTTTAAGATATTTAGAATCTCATAGGCCATATTTGGCTTTGCTGAATTTCTAGAGCTTTTATGGTTTATTTAGGCTTGAGAAGAAGACAAGTGTAAATAGCATTCAAAACATCTGTTTGAGGAATTCTTATACAAAGATCATGCAGCTACAGCTTTAGTTCAAGTGTCTCTGATAGTCAATATATAATTAGATTGCACTTTTTCAGTCATGCAGAGCAATGCTGGGACACTCATCCTATTGTGAAGTTGCTGTACGTTCCTTAGACCTGTCAGTGCAATACCTTTTCTTTACTGAAACTAACAGAGCTTCAGGTGGAGATGCAGATTGCATTTATTTGTTGGTGAAGCAGACTAGTGTTTTTGCTCATGTGATACTTTCAAACAGTTTCTAAATGGCTTTATCATGCTCTGTGTGGTAATTGAAAAGCTTCTTATTGCCTCAATTCAGTTTGACCCAGGAAAGCCCATATATTTCATCACACCAGCACAGAGTCTTCAGGCCCCATGAGAGCCATGAGGATGATCTCCTTTGTTTGTACAGTGTGTCATCTCCCAAGGAAGCTCCACTTCTTGGGAAGGCTAGCTAGAAAATGTCATTGATTGTCTTCATTAGGTTTATTTTCCAGCTGTTTGTGACTGTCCTAAGGGTCTGTTGCTTCGTCTAACTTTGGTTAATAAAATGTGAGGAAGGCCCTAACACTCACAGCACAAAGGTTATGTCTTTGGCAAAATTAACTGAAAACAGGAGCACCTGAATGTACACAGGGACAGGCAGCCTGGGAAATGTGCTGGCCACAAGCTCTGCGTGCCCTCACCCACCCAGAATCTACCTAGTTTCTCTGTATTTAAGGCTTTGTCCTTAGATGTGCCAGTCTTTATGTTACCTGCTGCTCAGCCAGTGAGGGCAATGACCAAGATTTCCTTAGACTGAAATACTTGGTGAAAGCTGTGTGCTAATAAGCACTACTCATTCTGAAGGCATTTATCTTGAAGCATCCTGCACAGATTGCTTGCCTATTTCATAAAGTAAACATTTTCAGTGTCTTACCTGTTTGATCAGGTTATGGTTATTTACCTTGTAAATAAAATATAATAGCAATGGTCTGCTTATTGATTTGTAGGTGCACCTTTATATTTTGTGTATTTGAATATCATAAGAGGCATTTCTAAGAACAGGGATGCATGCACCTATGATGCAAATGGGCAAATAGACCTGTGCATCAACTGCCTTGGCCATGAAGGCCATTCAAGCTACTGAAAGAGCAGTCAGTTTTGGTATTACAAGAAAGTGAAAGCCACCCACTCCGTTAAGTAAATAATCTTCCTGATGGGAGAATGCCTGGGTGTTATTTTGTTTGTGTGCTTTGGGTAGGGTGATGTTGTTTTTGTTTGTTTGGGTTTTTTTACTCCTTTGACCTTTTCCTCCTGCTTAGAAAGATCATAAGTAGTTATGCAGAGAAATTATATCTCTGATTTTGTTGGTTACACTTCTGGCTATTTTGGATGAGTTTAGTACAGTATTAGGGGGGAGCTTTTCATAGTTCAGCTACAATTTCAAATTTGATTTTGAAGTAATTTTTATTTTTTTATTTTTTTTTAAGTCCAGATGTTGCCAAGTGTTGGTGTCCCATTGCAGATTTTCTAATGCTAGGTGTTTCCTTGATGCTGGAGTAAAAAAGTGGATTTGAAGAGCAATGGTAAACTCAGATTTCACTTTTCAGAAAATAAGTGTGCGATTTTTAAGGAAAGCTTCCAAGTTAAGTAATTGCTGGGTTTTGGTTGTTATGTTTGATTTTGGTTTGATATTTGGGTTTTTGTGTTTTTTTGTTTTTTTTTTTTTTGTTTGGGTTGGGGTTTTTTGTTTTCTCTAGGGCTTGAAAAATAAGAGCAAGGACATAAACTGTTTTTCTACTATTTTAACCCCTCATGCTTCTTTTTGTATAGACGTTTGGGTTTGAATATTGCAGTTGAGCAATATTGAGAGCAATTTGAGACTAAATTATTAACATTCATCTTTGAGCGACTCACTGGGAATCAAGTGGCTTATCTCCTGTGGAATGGCTTGTGAACCATTTTTACAGCACAGCTCACCTCCTCTTCAAATTCACTGCTTGGGTTTTTTTGATTAACTTATGCTTGTGTAGAGTCTTTGATTAGGGAATGGACCTGAAGTGTCTGAGTATTGACTGGAGCATCTTAAACCCATATTGTTTTGCTCTTTAAGTGGGGGCTGTATTAAACCAGCCTCTTGGGTAGCTGAGTTAGTGTTTAATACTGCCATGACCCTTCTTCTAACATAGATGTACAGAAAGATAGCTACCTGTGGAGGTGCTGACCCCTCTAATAATCTATTGTGAAAACAGGTATTATCCTCCCTTCTAAGAAGCAGAGGAAATAAGGAGGTAGTGGAACTCAGTGCAATCCCTTTGCTCCAAAGGAAGGTGGAAAGGCCAAGGAAGCTTTAAGTAAGTTGTATAAATTGACTAAACCCAGCAGGGTAAGAAGCTGCTTTGATTTACAGATTAATTTCTTCTAAGAGTTTTGGGGGTAATCTCAAACTTACAATGGGTTTTCACTTCCCTGTGTTTGTTGCACATTTCTGCCCATTCTTGAGGCTTATGCATCTGTATTATCTTCTGGCTCACAGACGTCCTGGCTCTTTCTCCTTTTTTCCTTTGCTTTATCAGTATGCTTTTCCATTGCCACTGCCTCAGGTAGACGAAAGCTACATGAACTTTGCTTCTAATATTTCTGCCTTTGAAAATCCATTAATCCTGGCATAGCTTTCCAAAGCAGGTGTTTCTCTCCCAGCCTTCTCTCAGTAAGAAGCTGATAAGTGAGATGACAAATTGAGGACTAACCAACTTATTTTTTTATTTCAGACAGCTGGAAATGAGCCTGGTGCTCATCAATATTTTTATTTACAATATCAGCTGCATCATCTTTGAATATATTTATATTCAAAAACCAGAAGACTGTTTCCTGGACAGTGCTTATAGGTTTTGACTCTATAATGCTACAGGTGCACTCAACAAAACCTAATAGCTCCTCCCACTGGTGAGGAGATCCTACCCTATGAACACTTACACAATGAACAGAAAGCAGCACTGTTTGTAACTATGCTCTGCTTCTGCTTCTTAAAGCAGTAGTGAAAAAACTTGTCCCAAATGCTAAAATTAATTTTAATGAGCTCTACCTAGTGAGGCCCTTATCTCATTCCATAGTAAATAGGCTGCCGTTGGCTATGTGATTAGGAGTGCTCTCAGTGATATTCAGTGTGATTTCCCACCCCCCACCCATCAATTTAATTCATTCACTGAATCCACAATTCAGTATTTCTGATGTCAGACTTAATTCCCATAGAGGCCATTGTGGCCTCAAAAGCATTGAACCGTGGCCTTACTGAATGAATCAGGCGGGAGAAATGGGGATAATAATCAAGAAGGAAAGTGTGTATTTATACTCAAATCATCGTAATTGATAATAGCTGAAAGGCAAATGCAGAAAAAATATGTAAGAGTTTTAATGAGGAATTGGAGTAGCAGTTCTCTAACCACGCTGCAGGAGTATTTTAATGAGGATTTGGAGTAGCAGTTCTCTAACCATGCTGCAGGAGTAATTACTCATCAGAGCTAGAACTTGGGGATTATGGTAACATGGTTTTGTGAAAATGAACAGAGCTCTCTAAAAAAACCCAACCCACCTCTCTAATCAGTGTTTCCCTTTGACAGCAGGTGCTTTAGCCCTGCCAGGGCATTTTTACTATGAAGTCAGTTCAGCATCAAAGATCTAAATGATGCATAGTATTTCATGGCTAGCGCTGCGGTTTAAATGTTATGACTGATCGGGGCAGAAGAAATGCCTTTTCATTCCACTGTGATAGTACAGGAAAGTCTCATGTTGTGTGGAAAGAAATGACCTTCTTTTTATACCCTTTCCTCTTCACCACACATCTAAAGTTTTTCCCCCTACTGTTAACACAGTTTAGTCTAAACAATAAGCACCATAGGCAGGCTGTACAAAGATCAGTCCAGTTCCCATGTTTATTAGCCTGAGAGATCTGGGCTTTCCTTGGAGAGAAAGGGAGGCATCAGCAGCCTTCAACCTTCAGGAGTCTGCCTACTCTAACAAATATCCCAGTGATGGTATCGAGCTGTGTGGTTTCAAAAACTTTGTCTTTCTTCTCGGACTAGCTGAAAGGAGCAGACGGCAGAAATTCTTCTTTTTGTATAAACTAGGTCTCAAACCAGGCTAAAGCTTGGGCTTTAGACTGTGGGTTATTGTGCCCTGGGGGCATGCAGAAGGAATGTGGCCAAACATTTAAGTATACAAGAAGTGTTATATATCCACAATAAGTGAGAACTGGTCTGTGTGCTCTTGAGGAACACTGAGTCTAAATAGAAGGGAAAAATTTGAGTTGCTTACCTGGCACAAATATTCCTGTATGATATGTTGATTGAGAACCTGTCTATTGGTGATGTAGCACATCACTTCCTTGACTGTGTAGATACGCTGATCTGGCTGGTATAGGGTCAGTCTATGATAAAGGCCAGTAGAGCAATTGGATTACCATGGGATTGATATATTTATTTTTTTTTCATCTTTTATTTCTATAACTTCTCATAGGAATGCACATGGTAGAACATTTTTTATGTGTGGGGCCTACAGTAAGAGGGGTGTTTGTTTGAATTAGTCAAAGCAGGAAAGATTCATGTTTAAAATCAAACATCTGGGTATGACCAAGATGACATTTCCTAACAGAGATTCAGTGTT